AATATTCACTGAGATTGTTGGAATTTCTGAAAACTTCTCAGAAAAGCACAGAAAATATAAGAAAGACAGGTAATACATATACTGTAAAATCATTGAAATTATGAAAAGGTATACCACTGGTATTTTAAAACAGAAAATTAAGAAAGAATGTGTTGCTACTATTTATTTTATTTACTTTATTCATATTTTTATGGAATAGAGATCATAACAATTTTTCATATATAATATTACTTTCTTAGTTGCCAGTTAAAGTGTTACAATAATCATAACTTATGATTTGTATGTGTGTGCATACTGTAATTACATATGTGATTTATGATATATGATATTCTGAGATACATGCACACAAACACACCTAAATCTCAGAATAATAGTCTTCCTGTCATCTAGTATGAGTTCAAAGATTAGATGTCATTGGTTGCCGAATATCTACGTGGAAGGGTTTTCTTTCTCAGTGCGAGATTATTTTAGTGGTGTGGTCATTGAATAGTGTTCCCTAATGGGTATCAATTACCTACCTCTACTTTCATGGTGAGTTCATTCCAAACACTTATCTGTCAACAAATGTACCCCCACATCATGATACCTTTTATGATAACCCAAAGTATCCAAGGCACTACATCTGACCTGGAAAGTATCATATTGATATTTATACTCCAAAATATCATGTTAATAAATAGGCCACATAACACAATCATTTAAAAAGTAAGTGGGGATGTCAGACATAAAAATAAGCAATGGGTTTACTACAATGAAACTTGCCTTAGGATGCAAATTATTTTTTACCACCATTCACACAAGAAGATAATGGGCAAAGATTTATAGTTTCTTCCTTCTTCTAGTGTTGATAAAACTGTAGGGAACAAAAACAGGTAATGGGGAAAATATAAATCTGGTCATTAAAAGTAATCATGCTGTTAGCCAAAAACTATAATCATTTCTATAAATTATTCTCATTCAGACATTTTTCTTCCTCTGGCAAGCATCTTTAGCCTTTCCTTAAGATATGTGAAAAAAAAAACTTGTCAAATCAAGGTAAACATTTAAAATCATATTAAAAATAGTAATGGGAAGAGGGACTGCCTCTGACATAATCTGATTGGCCTGCTCGTTGATCACTTCCCCCTGAGGGGGGAGCAGCCTTACCAGGCCACAGTAGAGGACAATGCAGCCACTTTTGATGAGAACTGATAGACTAAGATCAGAAAGAAGAGGAGAACCTCCCCTATCAGTGGACTTGGGGAGTGGCTGGCATGCATGCAGAAACGGGAGGGAGGGTGGGATCGGCAGGGGAGGAGGGAGGGGCTTATGGGGGGATACAAAATGAATAAAGTGTAATTAATAAAAAAATAAAAATAAAATATATATATATAATTTTTTGAAAAGTGACAGCAATCATAGTTGAGGACACAATTCATAAGATAACAAAACTTGAAGCAGAGTCCCCGTTTCCACTTCCAAAGACTACAGTGTTCTTAAATAGTATACATGAGCAACCCCAAAAATTCAACCAGAGAACTCCTTCAGCTAATAAACACCTTCAGCAAAGTAGCTGGATACAAAATCAACTCAAAAAAATCAGAAGCCTTTCTGTATACCAAAGACAAAAGGGCCGAGAAAGAAATCAAGGAAACAACACCCTTCACAATAGCCACTAATAACATAAAGCACCTTGGGGAGACTTTAACCAAGCAACTGAAAGAACCAAGCAACTGAAGTTTGAAAAAAACCTTCAAGTCTCTGAAGAAAGAAATTGAAGGAGCTATCAGAAAGATGGAAAGATCTCCCCTGCTTATGGATCAGTAGGATTAACATAGTAAAAATGGCCATTCTGCCAGAAGCAATCTACATGGTTAAGGCAATTCCATTCAAAATACTAACACAATTCTTTACAGACCTTAATAGAAAAATTCTCAACTTCATGTGGAGAAACAAAAAACCCAGAATTTCCAAAACAATCCTGTATAACAACAGATCATCTGGAGGTATCTCCATCCTTGATCTCAAGCTGTGCTACAGAGCAATAGTAATAAAAACCTGCATGGTATTGGCTAGAAACAGAAAGGAGGATCAAAGGAACTGAATAGAAGACCCAGAAATAAACCCTCACAACTATGAATACTTCATTTTTAACAAAGATGCCAAAACCATTGAACGGAAAAAAGACAGCATCTTCAACAAGTGCTGGGTGCTGACCCAGATGGATGTCTACATGCAGAAAAATGAAAATAGATCCATAGTTATCACCCTGAACAAAACTAAAATCCAGGTGGATCAAAGACATCAACATAAAACCAGACACACTAAATCAGTTAGAAGAAAAAGTGGAGAAGAGCCTAGAGCTCATTGGCACAGGAGACAACTTCCTGAACAGAACACCAACAGCACAGGCTTTAATAGCAACAATCAATAAATGGGACCTTATGAAACTGAAAAGCTTCTGTAAAGCAAAAGACACTGTCGTCAGAACAAAACAACAGCCTACATACTGGGTAAGGATCTTCACCAACCCTATATCTGACAGAGGGTTAATATCCAGCATATATAAAGAACTAAAGGAGTTAAAAAACAATAAATCAAGTAAGCCAATTAAAAAAATGGAGTACGGAGCTAAACAGAGAATCCTCTGTAGAGGAATATAGAATGGCAGAGAAACACTTAAAGAGATGCTCTACTTCCTTAGCCATCAGGGAAATGCAAATCAAAACAACCCTGAGATTTCACCTTACACCCATCAGAATGGCTAAGATGAATAACTCAAGTGACAACACATGCTGGAGAGGATGTGAAGAAAGAGGAACCCTCCTCCATTGCTGGTGGGAATGTAAACTGGTACAACCACTTTGGAAGTCAATCTGGCACTTTCTCAGACAATTAGGAATAGTGCTTCCTCAAGATCCAGCTATACCACTCCTAGGCATATATCCAAAATTTGCTCAAGTACACAACAAGGACATTTGCTCAACCTTGTTTGTAGCAGCTTTATTTGTAATAGACAGAACCTGGAAACAACCCAGATGTCCCTCAACAGAGGAATGGATACAGAAATTGTGGTATTTTTACACAATGGAATACTACTCAGCAATCAAAAATGAGGAAATCATGAAATTTGCAGGCAAATGATGGGATCTAGAAAAGATCATTCTGAGTGAGGTATCCCAGAAGGAGAAAGGCACACATGATATATACTCACTCATATAGTCCTATAAGATATAATAAACATACTAAAATATGTACACCTAAAGAAGATAAGCAAGAAAGAGGATCCGGGGTAAGATGATCAATCCTCACTTAGAAAGACAAATGGGATGGACATTGGATGTAGGAGAAAACAAGTAACAGGACAGAAGCCTACTGCAGAGGGCCTCTGAAAGACTCTACCTAGCAGTGTATCAAAGCAGATACTAAGACTCATTACCAAACCTTCGGCAGAGTACAGGGAACCATATGAAAGAAGGGGGAGTTTGTATGACGTGGAAAGGATAGGAGTTCCACAAGGATGAAATATATCTAGGCACAGGGGTCTTTCCTGAGATTGACACTCCACCAAGGACCATGTATGGATATAACCTAGAACCTCTGCTCGGATGAAGCCTGTGGTAGCTCAGTAACCAACTGGTTTCCCATAGTAAGGGGAACAGAGACTATTTCTGACAGGAACTCAATGACAGACTCTTTGACCTCCCCATTCCCCAAGGGAGGAGCAGTCCTGCTAGGCCACAGAGAAGGACTAAAGGGGAGGAGGTCCTCCTCAATCAGTGGACTTGGAAAGGGGCAGGGAGGAGATGAGGGAGGGAGAGTTTGGGAGGGAATGAGGGGACAGGATACAGCTGGGATACAGAGTTAATAAAATGTAACTAATAAAAAAAGTAAAGAAAGAAAGAAAAAAGAAGCAGTGCTTCTTATGCATTAAAATTTTCTTCTGTTTAAGTCAATCACCTGAACAATTAATGTAATAAATACAAAGGAACAAAAAAAAAGATGTCCCAAAGAAAACAACGATAAAAAATAAAACAAAGTGCCACCTAACACAGACACTCACAATGAAAATTTTCTTCTGTTGGCCAAATACCACACAAAGCATGAACATTTCATGGAGTGTCTTTGACATATCTTTTGCAACTCCATTGTATAAAACTGATTATTTCTTTGCAACAGGTATGAATTGCAAAATATTCCTTGTTTAGAGTTAGGACTTTGAGTCCCGGCCACTTGTTAGTACTAGGATATTTTACACCTTCTATATATGAAGGTCTTATCCATGCTCCCAAAATCACTGTGAGTTCATATGAAAATCATTACTTCTGATTCTGAGTGACAATGTTTGTTTGGTTTGTTTGTTTGTTTGTTTGTTTGTTTGAGTCTCCCACTACTTCTGTCTTTTACACTCTTTCAATCACTTTTTCCACAAAGATCCCTGAAGCTTGAGTGGTGTGATTGCTCAATTCAGCCTTATGGTAAGGCAATATTCCAGGGGTCAATGTTTACTTATGTCACCATATGTGGAAATTCAAACTGGTGTCCAAATAGTAGACTTACTCATGAAAGTTCCTAGAAAGTACTCTGCATGATAGCAGAAAAAAAATAAGTGGGAATAAAGGCTAATTGTATCCCATTTCTTAAAGATCCCACCATTGGGTACATTTAAAACAATGTATTTTTCTAACAAACCTTCCCGTACCTAAGTCTCAGGGAATATTTAAGAATAAAGGAAACATATTGAGAGTCAAAGGATGAAGGATCTTGCTCTGAGACTATGACATCTAAGATTACAAGAATGTATATGATAAATTTTCACCCTTATACCCCCAAAATTTGAGCTACACAAGAATGACACAACAAACTTGCTAAAGTGAATAGGAGAATGGTTGGAAGGCATCAAGCCTACCCAAAGAAGTACACACAACAAACTAAATGTTGGAATGAAAAAGGGTTTTCATTTCCATGAAAAGGAATAAAGACACTTTAGTATAATCTAAAAATTTAATGCTACGAATGATTCAATGCAGTGCTTTATCACTGTACTTTTGAAGAGGATATGAATCTGGTCTTAACAAAATAACATAGCACTTTGGGACAAAAATGCATACTAACAACCCTGCACTGGAGGCCAAGATGGAGAAGACCTCCACAGCCACCGTGACCTTCCCCTTAGTGCTATGGTAGACAGGAAGAAAGGTGACCCATACACTACAGAACACCAGCATGCTAAAGGCCAGGAATTTGGCTTCATTGAATCTGTCAGGCAGATTCTGGCCATGAAAGCAACAGTGAAGCTCCCCAGAGCCCAAGTATCCCAGGACAAGGTGGAATGCAATGACTGAACCTTTGTTGCATGCAATAATGCTTTGCCCATGTTCAGAGTGTAAATCTATGTCAATAAAAAGAGGTGACATTACCAGCCAGATTCCACAGAGAACAAGTTGGACCAGGGTACAGATAGGAATGACAAAGTTAGGTGCCCCTGATGTCAACATCCATCTCATCTTTCTTCCTGGAGTATTGAGCTTGAAGGCCAGGACCACAGTAATTGTCTTGGTCAAGACAGTAGAAAGAGCCACTGTAAAAAAAAAACTCCAAATGTTATTTGTTGCAGGATGCAGGTGCCCATATTTGGATGCCCAATGAATAGGAATGGGCATAGAAAACAGAAGGTGATGGAGATCAGTAGGATGTAGCTGAGAATGCGGTTATTGGCCTTCACAATGGGAGTGTCATTGTGCTTCACAAAAGCACCAAGTACAACAGATGTGAGTGCAGAGAAACCCAGGGACGTGCAAGCCAGAGCCATCCCCACTGGGTCTTCATAAGACAGAAAGGAGACATGCCTCTGCAGGCAGAATGTGTGCACTCTGTTGGCATACTGGTCATCTGGACATCTCACACAATGTTCCATATCTGCTGGAGAGCATTAACAACAAATCCTAATAAAATTTCATCATTATATGCTTAATCATTAAGTATATGTATTAATCAGAATATAACACAATAAACTATTTGTTGTTGAGCAACAGCTTTTTGTCTTTGTTGCAGCAGGGAGCAATAACAACAGGCTGATCCCTGGTGATACAGTATACCACCTTCATGGTAAAAGGAGAAGAAAAGATACTTATTTTATCTATGATCTTTAATATTCTTTAAAGTGTTAAAATAAGAAAGAAAAGTATTTAGTTTCTCAGTGCATTTGAGTGAAAATTAAAACTATAGGTCTAGATATTTTGTCTGCTTAGTTATTAGGGAGTGACACTATTTGAAATGCTTAGAAGGTATGTTCATATTTCAATAAGTGTGACCTTATCAGATAATGGGTGTCACCAAGGGTAGGATTTTAAAGGCTCAAGTAGCCCCAGTGTCTTTCTCTTCCTGATGACCAAGGACCTAGATATAGAACACTCTCCCACATCTCTAGAACATACCTTCCTGTGTGTTGCCATACTTCTGCCATTAGAATAATAGAATAAGCTTCTTATAATGTAAGCAAGTCCAATTTAATGCTTTCTTTTAAAATAATTGTCATGTGTTGTGGAGTCCACAGTTCTTTTTGGGATGGTGCTCAGTCTCCAAGTTGGTTTCATTAACAAGGGGAACATGGGCTGTCTCTGACACGAACTCAGTGGCTGGCTCTTTAATCACCTCCCCCTGATGGGGCTGCAGCATTGCCAGGCCACAGCAGAAGATGATGTACCCAGCCTTAATGAGACCTGATAGCTAGGGTCAGATAAAAGGGAAGGAGGTCCTCCCCTACCAGGAGACTAAGGAGAGGGCATGGAGGGAAAAGAGGGAAGGTGAGTGGGAGTTGGATCAGATGAGGGAGGGTGCTGCAACAGAGATACAGAGTAAATAAATTGTCATGAATAAATAAAATTTAAAAAATTAATTGTCATGGTCATAGTGTCTCTTCAGAGCAATAGAACACTGAGTGGGTCCTTATACCTAGATAACAAAACAAGCTGATACAATACATTGTACACATTGCCTTGTGACCTTAGCCTGGATCTTCATTTAACAACAAGGATATACAATTACCTTAAATGCATACTGTTTGCATAACACAATATTTCCATTAAAGAAGCTTTAATTTGAGAGGGTGGAATTGATATGGGTGGAGGCAGAGAGGTATAGGGGGATACAAAGTGAATAAACTGTAATTAACAAAAATAAAAATAATTTAAAAATAGAAGCTTTAATTCTTATGAATTAAAATCCCCTTCAGTTACAATTTCTCAACAATTAACATAAGTATTTGGAAAAACAGACATTTAATTTTTCCAGTAATTTCTATTCCTATGATGCCTGCTATATGGACTTCTCTAAATTCACATTCACTTTGTTTCTGTCACTACTCACTTGCATATTAGAAGATAAAAACAAATACAAACTACTCATCAATACTGCATATATCCAACATAAAATAAATTCCTGTTAAACACAGTACGTAAAATTAATGCATACATACAGTGTATTTGAATTGTATCTACCACTCTAGTCCTTTTGCTATCATTGTGAGAATAGAGATGACATGTAGAAGTGTTTCAAGTGAAGATCGTGATAGGTGCTGAATAGAGAAATGGAAGGGAATATTTCTATTAAAATGTATTTAAATTAATTAAGTTCTTACGTGTATGTTATATGCATAAAATATATTTATTATTGAATGTGTGATTGATTTTTGCATGTTACTGTGAGAACACATTCATCTTTTCATGTATTTGTGGTTCAGAAGACAACCGTCAGGGGTTTTTCATTTCCAACTGATTGTGCAAAGTCATTTTTTGTTCCAAACTACATATTTCAAACCTTATGCATATTTTCAATCCTTCCTCTAATTGTCTTTAGGATGTGATTGCTGAACAACACTACAACATCTGTATGTATGTTCTGGGATCTGCACTTTTTTCCTAATCCTTTCATAACATCTTAAGTACATTTCATTAAACAACAACAAAAGCCTGAGCCTCCAGTCTTTGTCAGGGACCAAGATGAGTTCCAGAACAAAAGATTGTCATCTAGTCATGTTGTCAATTCAGTAAGCACATAGGATCAAGGACGATTGGACGTGCTCACAGCAATACTATGTGCAGATTTTTCTGTTAGGATAATAGTTACAATTTTTCATTAAACATTGTCTGAAAAATATAAAATATGTAACCATTCTAAGGTGAGTGAAATGTTTGGTGTGGAAGAAAGGGAATGTTCAAGCCAGGGTTTATAATATGATTGATATCAGTAAAATGATTACATCAAAAACACATTGTTATGTCTCCAGGCTTCTTTCAGGCTTTTCACTGTTCTAGGTTGGAAAAGAGAAAATATTCAATTTCAAAAAAAAATTTTCTGGAAACAAATGTGTACCTGTCTCATTAGAAACCTCATTTTCTGGGCACTGGGCACAATCAAAGCAGCAGTCTCCTGCTTGTCCCTGATGAAATTTCCTGAATCCAGGAGCACATATCACACTGCATGTAGAGATGGGAACCTGAGGCAAATGAAATATGAATTGGTAACAGACATGAGTTATACATACTCTTCTATTGCCTTGCATTATTTACTAAATTTAGGAATATGGACATCTCCTATTAATCTGCAATGATATGGAAAGCTATACAATATTTAGGACATTGTGGAAACTTCTGTGTGTAAATGTCCGGTTGAAAATATTAACATGTGTTCCCCCCTAAATTGAAATGATCCTTGAGGATTGTGGTATGCAGAGTTCATAAATCACAAGAAAGAATGATGTGTTGGGTGGGAAGAAAAAGAGGATGGAACTGTGAAAGTTTATTGGGTGAAAATGAACAAAGCATGTTGCTGGAGACTCTCATTGACTTAAAAAATGTTTTAATGTTACAATGAATGCCTAGGATATAGAGAAATACTTCTGTAAACAACTACCTGATATCCTTGATTAGGCTACAGAGCTGTACACACAAATTCACAAAATTTCATGGTTTATAACGAGTTACAAAATTTTAATAGTTTAAATATGTTTACTCTTTTTTAATTTTGTATATGTGTTTCTGTGGTGTGGGATTTGGAATGTACCTTTAGGTGTCCATAGAAGCCAGAGGCATCTGATATCCATGACCTAGATTCAGGAAATTGTAAACATTCAAACATGGATACTGTAAACTGAGCTTGGGTCCTTTGCAAGAGCAATTGTTCTTGCCCAGTAAGCCATCACTCTAATGCCACAAATTTTTATAACATAAATGTATAGAAAATAAAGGGAGGAGGCCAAGATGGTGGCACCAGGAGAACACTGCATCTAAGAAGCAGGACAACATTTTCCGTGCAGCGACCAAGAGACTGAACTTTGGGCCCTAAAACAACAGTAATCGTGTTTCCCAGGTGAGAGGAAACCCCCACGGCGCGGGAAACAGGTGGGTCCAAGCTCAGGCCACCCAGCCAGAACCCGGAAGAGATCCCGGGTCTCGCAGGCACTAGGTCCCCAGACCAGAGCCACACGCCTGCCTGTCCTGATCACCTTCCCAGGCTGATCGGTGGGCACAAAAACACCAGAGACAGGGAGTCCCAGTCACGAGAAAAACCCACAGGGAAGGAAAGCAGTGGGACTGGCCATGGGTCACCCAGTCTTTCCCTGGAAAAAGTCTCGCAGACCGCGGGTACCCACCACCATCACTGAACTGGCCTCCCGCTGCCAGCACGGAGTGGCTACGCCCAGCTCTCTAGCACAGACAGAGCTGCACGCCCTAGTGCAACAGAGTCAGGGAGTTCCTGTCGGGAGAGGGCCCCACAGGGAAGGAAGGAAACAGTACTGACTTGGGATACCCAGGCTTTACCTGGGGAAAGTCTCTTGCAGACCGGCGGATATGAGCCCCGTCACTGAACTGAGCACCCGCCGCCAGTGCCAGCGCCAGAGCCAGCACAGAGAGGAACTGTGCACCCAGCTCTCTTGCACAGACAGAGCCGCGCGCACTAGTGCAACACAGTCTGGGAGTTTCTGTCGGGAGAGGCCCCCACAGGGAAGGAAGGAAACAGTACTGACTTAGGCGACCCAGGCTAAAGCGGAAAGTCTCTCACAGACTGGTGGGTACAAGCCCCATCACCGAACTGGCCCCAGGCCAGAAGCACAAAGAGTAGTTGGGCACTCAGGTCCTACAAACTAGCAGGCAGGCGCACGTGCCACCAGCCCAGAGACCTGCTTTGTACCAACTATTCCTCACAGACAGAAAAGTGTACCCAAGGACACCAGAGACGTGGTATCACTGTCTGGAGAAATCCTCACAGGGAACTAAGCAAAGGGGACAGATTTAAGCCACCCAGTATATCCCTGGAAAAGGTCCCGCAGACTGGCCCAACCCAGGGACCTGCTGTGCACCAGATAGCCTGCTGTTACCAGGAAAGAAGTACTCACCTGCCACAGATTACTGCTTGGGTACTGGGGCACAGAGCCCCAACCTCAGACCTTCAAAAGCACGGGATCCCTGAGATCAACCCCCGGATACAGCTCCATGGGGCAACCACTTATCCCTAACAAAACTGACCAAACCACGGGACACACAGGTTACAGCAGCAGATCACTAAATTCACAGCAAGAAACTGGGCAGCTGTCTTCAGGACTTCTCCTGGTGAGGGGAGAGCCCTCTTGAATAATAAGGACCACAGTTACCATTCAGGTCTCTACACCTGAGGTGAGCAGCGGCAACTCCTGAAAAACACCAGCCATCCAGTGACTATACCCAAAAAGCTGAGAAGGCTTCCTTCAAAAAAAACCATCTTCCTGCCAAAGGGATTCTCTCCACCACAGGATTCCAGGAAAACCCAGAAACCAACTTCAAAAACCTAAGATAACCCAATTGGTAGAGGCCAACGTAAAAGTTCAACCAACAAAAGCCAGAGCAATATGGCATCTCCAGAACCCAGTTATCCAGGGACAGGTAGCCCTAGACACCCCAGTATAATTGAAATGCAAGAAGAGGACCTAGCATCTATGATCACGAAGAAGATAACAGGAAACAAATAAAATGTGTAAAGAAATAGAGGAAGATAAAAAGTTTATGGCCATCCGTAGAGAAATAGAGGAAGTTGCAGCCAAACAGTTAGTGGCCTATAGAGAGGAAATGCTTAAACCACTGAATGAAATAAAAAAAAAAAGAGGATTGTTCAAACAAACAGCTGAGGGAATTGAAGGAAAAACAGGAAAATACAGTCAGACAAGTGAAGGTAATCAACAAAATGGCTCAAGACATGAAGATAGAATTGGAAAACTTAAAGAAAACACAAATGGGGGAAAATGTGGAAAGAAAGAACTTAGGGAAGAAAACAGGAACCACAGAGGTTAGCATAACCAATAGACTACAAGAGATGGAAAAAAGAATCTCAGGTGTGGAAGATACAATGGAAGAAATAGATGTAACTGTCAAAGAAAATGTTAAATCTAAAAAATTCCTGACACAGACCGTCCAAGAAATTCAAGACAACATAAAAAGACAAAACCTAAGAATAATAGGTGTAGAGGAAAAAGAAGATTCCCTGCTCCAAGGACCAGAAAATATCTTCAACAAAATCATTGAAGAAAATTTCCCCAACTTAAAGGAGAGAACAATAAGAATTCAAGAAGCCTACAGAACACCCAATAAATTAGACCAGAAAAGAAAATCCTCCCACCACATAACAATCAAAACAGTAAGTATACAGAACAAAGAAAAAATACTAAAAGCTGCAAGGGAAAAAGGCCAAGTAACATATAATGGCAAACCAATTAGAATCACACCTGACTTCTCAACAGAGACTATGAAAGCCAGAAGGGCCTGGACAGATATCATGCAGACCCTAAGAGAACACAGATGTCAACACAGGCTACTATACCCAGCAAAACTCTTTTAGTCCTCATAGACAGAGAAAACAAGATATTCAATGACAAAAATAAATTTCAACAATACCTACAAACAAATCCAGCGTTACAGAAGACACTAGAAGGGAAAATACAACCAAGAAAACTAATTACTTTCAAAAAAAACACAGGAAATAATTAACCTCACTACAGTAAAACAAAAAGCAACCAAATACACAACCTTATGACTACAGGCAACATCAAATTCAAAGGATCTAACAGCCACTGGACATTAATCTCTCTCAACATCAATGAACTCAATTCTCCAATAAAAAGACACAGACTAACAGAATGGATGTGTAAACAAAACCCAGCAATCTGTTGCATACAAGAAACACACCTAAGTCACAAAGATAGACATTACCTGAGGGTAAAGGGTTGGAAGACGGCTTTCCAAGCAAATGGACCCAAGAAGCAAGCAGGAGTAGCCATTCTAATATCTGATAAAATAGACTTTCAACCAAAATTAATCAACAGAGATGGGGAAGGACACTTCATACTTGTCAAGGGAAAACTCCAACAAGAAGGCATCACAATCCTGAACATCTATGCCCCAAATACAAGGGCATCCACATTTGTAAAAGAGACATTGATAAAAGTTAAACCACACATAGATCCCCACACATTAATAGTAGGAGACTTCAACAGCCCACTCTCAACAAAGGACAAGTCAACAAAACAGAAATTAAACAAAGAAACAAATGTCCCTAACACAAATTATGAATCAAATGGACCTGAAAGACATTTACAGAACCTTACACCCAAACACAAAAGAATTTACCTTCTTCTCAGCACCTCATGGAACCTTCTCCAAAACAGACCATATAGTTGGTCGCAAAGCGAGCCTCAACAGATACAAGAGGATTGAAATAATCCCTTGTATCCTGTCTGATCACCATGGAATAAAGCTGGACCTCAACAACAACAGAAATAGCAAAAAGCCTACACACACATGGAAACTGAACAACTTGCTACTAAATGACAGCTGGATTAGGGAAGAAATAAAGAAAGAAATTAAAGTCTTCCTGGAACTCAATGAAAATGAAGACACAACATACCCAAACTTGTGGGACACAATGAAAGCAGTGCTAAGAGGAAAGTTCATAGCACTAAGTGCCTTCAAGAAGAAATTCGAGACAGCACATTCAAACAACTTAATGGCTCACCTAAAAACCCTAGAAAAAGAAGAAGCAGACACGCCAAAAGGAGTAGACGGCTGGAAATAATCAAACTCAGGGCTGAAATCAATCAATTAGAAACAAATAAAACAATTCAAAGAATCAATGAAACCAAGAGCTGGTTCTTTGAGAAAATCAACAAGATCGACAAACCCTTAGCCAAACTAACTAAAAGGCAGAGAGACACCATCCAAATCAACAAAATCAGAAATGAAAAGGGGGAGATAACTACAGACACTGAGGAAATCCAAACAATCATTAGGACTTACTTCAAAAGTCTATATGCTACAAAATATGAAAATCTAAATGAAATGGACAATTTTCTTGATCGATTCGACTTGCCAAAGCTAAATCAGGACCAGGTAAATCAATTAAATAGTCCTATATCCTCCAAGGAAATAGAAGCAGTAATCGAAAGTCTCCCATCCAAAAAAAAAAGCCCAGGACCAGATGGTTTCAGTGCAGAATTCTACCAGACCTTCAAAGAAGAGCTAACTCCAGTCCTCTTCAAACTATTCCACAAAATAGAAACAGAAGGAACATTACCAAACTCATTCTATGAAGCCACAGTCATATCTAAACCACACAAAGACCCAACAAAGAAAGAGAATTTCAGGCCTATCTCCCTTACGAACAGTGATGCAAAAATACTCAAAAAAATACTTGCAAACCGAATACAAGAATACATCAAAGATATCATCCACTATGACCAAGTAGACTTCATCCCAGGTATGCAGGGGTGGTTCAATATATGGAAATCCATCAATGTAATCCACCATATTAACAAACTGAAAGAAAAAAAACCACATGATAATCTCCCTAGATGCTGAAAAAGCATTTGACAAAATCCTACATCCATTCATGTTTAAAGTCTTGGAGAGATCAGGGATACAAGGCACATATCTAAACATAGTAAAGACGATATATAGCAAGCCTATAGCCAACATCAAACTGAACAGAGAGAAACGTAAAGCAATCCCACTGAAATCAGGGACAAGACAAGGCTGACCACTCTCTCCATATCTCTTCAACATAGTGCTGGAAGTCCTGGCTAAAGCAATAAGACAGTTGAAGGAGATCAAGGGGATACAAATTGGAAAGAAGAAATCAAATTATCACTATTTGCAGATGATATGATAGTATATGTGAGTGACCCCAAAAAGTCTACCAGGAAACTCCTACAGCTGATAAACACCTTCAGCAAAGTGGCCGGATACAAAATTAACTCAAAAAAATCAGTAGCACGCCTGTATACAAAGGACAAAAGGGCTGAGAAAGAAATTAGAGAAACAACACCATTCACAATAGCCACAAATGACATAAAGTACCTTGGAGTAACCCTAACCAAACAAGTCAAAAACTTGTATGAAAAAAATTTCAACTCTCTGAAAAAAGAATTAGAAGAAGATATGAGAAGATGGAAAGATCTCTTATGCTCATGGCTTGGCAGGATTAACATAGTAAAAATGGCCATCTTACCAAAAGCAATCTACAGATTCAATGCAATTCCCGTTATATTACCAACACAATTCTTTACAGACCTAGAAAGAAAAATTCTCAACTTCATATGGAATAACAAGAAACCCAGAATTGCTAAAACAGTCCTTTACAATAAAAGATCTTCTGGGGGTATCTCCATCCCTGATCTTAAGCTGTACTCTAGAGTAACAGTAATAAAACTGCATGGTACTGGCACAGAAACAGAATGGTGAAACAATGGAATCGAACAGAGGACCCGGAGATAAACCCACACACTTATGGACACCTGATCTTTGACAAAGATGCCAAAACCATACAATGGAGAAAAGACAGCATCTTCAACAAATGGTGCTGGTCCAACTGGATGTCTACATGTAAAAAAAAAAAAAATGAAAATAGATCCATAGTTATCACCCTGAACAAAACTAAAGTCCAAGTGGATCAAAGACCTCAACATAAAACCAGACACATTAAATCGGTTAGAAAAAAAAGCGGGGAATACCCTTGAACTCATTGGCACAGGAGACAACTTCCTGAACAGAACACCAAAAGCACAGGCTCTAAGAGCAACAATCAATAAATGGGACCTCATGAAACTGAAAAGCTTCTGTAAATCAAAGGATACTATCATCAAAACAAAATGACTGCCTACAGATTGGGAAAGAATCTTCACCAACCCTCTATCTGATAAAGGACTAATATCCAGTATATATAAAGAACTAAAGAAGCTGAAAAGTAATCAAATTAAAAAATGGGAAACAGAGCTAAATAGAGCTTTCTCTGTAGAGGAATATCGAATGGCAGAGAAACATTTAAAGAAATGTTCAACCTCATTAGCCATTAGGGAAATGCAAATCAAAACGACCCTGAGATTTCATCTTACACCCATCAGAATGGCTAAGATCAAAAACTCAAGTGACAATACATGCTGGAGAGGTTGTGGAGAAAGGGGAACCCTCCTCCACTGCTGGTAGGAATGTAAACTTGTACAACCACTCTGGAAAGCAATCTGGCACTTTCTCAGACAACCTGGAATAGCGCTTCCTCAAGATCCAGCCATACCACTCCTAGGCATATATCCAAAAGAGGCTCAAGTACACAATAAGAACATTTGCTCATCCATGTTTGTAGCAGCTTTATTTGTAATAGCCAGAAGCTGGAAACAGCCCAGATGCCCCTCAACTGAAGAATGGATGCAGAAATTGTGGTACATCTACACAATGGAGTATTACTCAGCAATGAAAAAATAAGGAAATCATGAAATTTGTAGGTAAATGGTGGGACCTGGAAAGGATCATCCTGAGTGAGCTGTCCCAGAAGCAGAAAGACACACACGATATATACTCGCTCATATAAACATAACATAGTATACACCTACTAAAAACTGTACATCTAAAGAAACTAAGCAAGAGAGAGGACCCTGACTAAAATGCTCAATCCCCGTCCTGAAAGGCAAAGAGGATGGACATCAGAAGATGAAGAAAACAGGAAACAACCTACGAACCTGCCACAGAGGGCCTCTGGAAGCCTCTGCCCTGCAGACAATCACAGCAAATGCTGAGACTTATGGCCAACTGTTGGACAGAGTGCATGGAATCTTATGTAAGAAGTGGGAAATAGTAAGATCTGGAGAGGATGGGAACCACACAAGGAGAGCAACAGAACCAGAAAATTTGAACACAGGGAACTTCCCAGAGACTCATACTCCAACCAAGAACTATTCATGGAGATAACCTAGAACCCCTACACAGATGTAGCACATGATAGTTCAGTGTCCAAGTAGGTTACGTAGTAAAGGGAAGAGGGACTGCCTCTGACATAATCTGATTGGCCTGCTCTTTGATCACCTCCCCCTGAGGGGGGAGCAGCCTTACCAGGCCACAGAAGATGACAATGCAGCCACTCCTGAGGTGATTTGAAAGACTAAGATCAGAAGGAAGGAGAGGAGGACCTCCCCTATCAGTGGACTTGGGGAGGGGCATGCATGAGGAAGGGGGAGAGAAGGTGGGATTGGGAGGGGAGGAGGGAGGGGCTTATAGGGGAATACAAAATGAATAAAGTGTAATTAATAGTAAAAAAATTTTTTTTAAATTAAAAAAATAATTATTTTATACACACCGGGGTTGCTCCCATGGCCAATTGTAAGTCTTCAGATATGTGCAGTTGTTGGCTCTGTGGAAAATAAAGGGAATAGCCCCCTGTTTTCACCTTTAATCCAAAGCCTTGTGGGAAACTCCAAATGTTGAAAACGTCATACTCTGCACACAGATTTTGTCTCAGATTCATATTCACCAGTTCTCCAACAAGGTTAGTAAATATCCTCTTCTTCAGCAAAGAAGTAAGCTAAATGAGATGCATCACTAGATAATTACATATCTCTACCAGTGAAGCAAAGTAACAGTGTGAATGTCCAATAATTTTAATATATTCCAGAAAAGGCAACTATATCTAGTAAAATACAAGAGATTTCATGAGTAATTAAATCTTATTATACTTCATATGCATGTTTTATGGTGGACATTGTCAACACAAATCTTTACCAAATACAGTGAAATAGATCTGAACACTTATTACTACTGTGAAAAATGGCAGACAGAAGCAATAAAATAAAATTTTAAAATTTCAGAGGCCTTTTTTTTTAAATAATTCAAAAAAAGAGAGGGAGTGAATAAATGATGTAAATAAAGTAAACATATATAAAATAAAAATAACTTTAATAAAAACATGTCATTTTATTATTTGTCTACATAATTAATTGATGCTTTATGAAAATATGCCATAATGTTTATCAACACATTTTTTTCTTGAGAAACAAATTCTTCTAATTCTCTTCTTTTTGTCACATGAGGGATTTTTGATAAAGCTTTCAGTTACTATTTCAGTTACCAATATTGAGCTCATTTGTTAACATATTGAGACACATTCTCAAAAATATAATTAATTTTCATACAAAAAATGTTGTCATGTGTTGATTATTAATCTTGTGCAGTATATTTATCCACATAATATTTTTAAATTAGGAAGTTTTGAGGTATAGAAATCTTTCTGTTGAGAGAATAACGACTGACAAATTCATATGAGCATTTCTAGGGCTATTTAAAACTATCATAACTTAAGCATGATCAAAGTAAGATAGTTTACCTGCTGATAGTCAGAAAATATTCCTATGCGTTCTGCAGTTTGCTGAGACTCTATTTGTTGAAGAATGATTTCATGGTAGGTGTGGGCCACAGCATACACAGCATTGTATAAGTTGTAACCCTCTTCACTCAGAGCCATGTCAAACTTATGTTCTGATAACCATTCCAATGAAGTGTTGAATGAACAGTGATTCATTGTGCTATAGCTATAGATATTGGAAACTGAACAGTTAAAGTAATTCCACTTCTCTCTCATCTGAGAAATGTCTACTGGATATTTGGAAGTGTTCATGGTTCGAATAAAATTCTTAAATTTAGGAATATCAACATGGTGGTGTGCAAAAGTGATAGTCCCATTGAAGGGGTCAGGGCTGAAATCTTTCTTACTTGGGATGACATCCCATTGTGAGGTGGTGACCCAGATTCTCTGGACACCTAAATATACCCATCTTCTAAAGCTGGCTTCCAGGGTAGAGTTCATTTCACCATAAATGACAACAACTTTTGCAGTGGATGTCCTGATTTGTTCATCATATATCACGGCCCTTGTCATGTATAGCTGCATGGTTTCGGGGATCACATTCACAAAAGCTAAACAGACTCCATTAGTTTGCATCTCTTCTCTCAAGTCTGAAAGGAACTGAATTCCCTGGTTGTCATCTGAAATGACCAGCACTATCCAGGTCCATGTAAAATAAAGCATCAAAGAGACCATGGCATGGGGCAAACATGTATCCTTGTGTGCTATCTGGTAGACATGGGGAAAATGGACATTGTCACTCAGAATAGGATGAAATGGTCCAAAGAAAACCTGAAGGATGGAGAACAGAAGAAACAATGTGTGGAATATGATTGGCTGGAAATTGATGCTTAAATATGAGCTGTGTTAATTACCTACTAGAACTACTACAAAGCACAAAATAGATTACCTTGTAAATGTTATATATTATTCTTATAGAATTCTATAATATTTTTGACAAGTCTAAATGTTCAACAAACTTTTTCTGTATTTCTCCAGTTCATTCATTCTTTGTAAAATAAAACAGTCTTAATGACATATCTGATTTCTTAACCCTTTAGAATATATAGATCAGCACATACAAACCCATACTGCCTATTCATTCTCTATTACAACATGGGATTGACATAAATAAGCTGTTATCTCTCCTTTTGACCATGCAGCCTCACCTTTGGAGAAGGGGGAAAGGTTGCCAGTTTTAAAGACATAGCCCATAATGATCCTGTGAGTTCCACCATATATACAGACACTCCACAGATATAATTAGGGAAATATAAACTATTGCTTTGTGGTGAACTTGGTTCATCTATTGCTCTCAGGGTATCAGAACACATGTTAACATACATGGAAAATAACAAAGACGTGTTGGGTAAGATATAAAGGTTCCTGTTTATTTCATCAGTAGCAAAAAGCAGTATCAGAATAAACTCATATTTCCATGTTGGTATTCTAAAAGAAAACACATGAACATTTTGGAGGATGCCGAAAACATCAAACTTTTAAATAAATTTAAATGAACCTTTTAATATACCCCTTTAAATGACTGCATAAATGCAATCTTTCCTAATGTAAAGTCATGGAAGAAGAGATCTTTAAATCTAAAAGCATTTTCAGATTTCATCTAAATAGATCATTCTGAAATGAGATTTTATCTTGGTGAAAATCCATAAAGAGCTTGTTTGATTTCTAAATGCCATCGATGAACTAGAACACAGCCCTTGACATTCAGTCTGTTATATTTTTGTCTTGGAATTCTCATTCTAGAGAAACATGACAATAGTTACGACTTGAACCCTATATTTAATCCATGGCACTTTATACTTTATTAAAGATTAAAATATAATGAATCTTATTAAAATTTTCTTATGAATAATCTTGATGATTTTGAGTACATTGAAAATCATATATCATGACATTTTCTTTGACTTTAATGTTCATGTTTTCACCACACCTCATTAAATCATGTTTAATAATAGCCATAATGAAGATCATACTTCTAATGCCTAAGACCAAATTATGGTTTGGTCTCTTATGTTTTCTGCATTGTGGGAAGAAAGAGAAAAGGACCTGGAGGTGACAGAAGTTCCATTGAAGACCAACAAAGCCAACTAACCAGGGCCTAGAAGGGCAAGCTTGCTGAGACTGAAGCATCAACCAAGGACCATGCACAAACTGGACCTAGGCCCCTACAAAGATTTATCCGATGGGTAGCTTAGTTCTCATGTGGGTTCCCTAGTAAAAGAAGTGAGGACTGCATCATACATGGATTGGCCAGGTTTTTTATCACTTTCCCCTGGCAGGACTGCCATGTCAGGACACAGGAGAAGAGCACATGCTCAGTCCTGATGTAACTTGATGAGTTGGGCTAGATGGAAAAGGGAGCTCCTCTTTGCTGAGGAAACAGGGAGGAGAAAACTAGGAAGGATGGGACTGGAAAGGGAGAAGGAATGGGCTACAACGAGGATGTGAAGTGAATAAAAGTAAATTTAAAAATCTGTACTCCAGGCGGGGCAAGATGGCAGCGCAGGGAGGACTCTCATTCTGAGGAGCAGCACAGCAGGATTGGCACAGTGACCAGCAATCAGAACTCGCAGCCATAAAACACAAGTGATTGTGTTTCACAGGTGAGAGGATACCCCACGGTGGGGGATTCAATCAGCTTTAACTCACCCGGCTAAACTGCCGGGTGAGAGATCCCAGTTCCGCCAGGCGCTTGGTCGCCAGCCCAGAGCTACCCGCCAACGCAATCTGGTCACGGTCCCAGACTGAACTGTGGGCCCACAACACCATAGACTGGATTTCCCAGTCGAGAGATAACCCCACGGAGCAGGAAACAATTGGGACCGACCTCAGGTTACCCAGACATCCCCTGGAAAAGACTCGGGTTCCACGGGTGCCCCAAGAGCCAGTCCGGACCCAGAGCCGGGACACAGGTGCCTGCCTGTGCGCCTGATTCGCCGCCTCAGATAGAACTGTGGGCACCAGGGCACCAGGGCACCAGGGCAACAGGGCACCAGACTGCATGTCTCTGGCAGGAGGAAACCCCCAGCGGAGGGGGTCAGCAGCTCTAACACTTAGGACACCCAGCACCAAAACACTTCCTGGACTCACGCAGACTCTAGTACAGGCAGGAGCTCTGTGCGCTGCCACCATTATTGAGTTCCCCTAGGGCACTGGGACACACAGCTGCATCCTCAGACCTACAAAAGCCAGAAAGCCATTACAGCAGCCTTCAGATACTGTGCCAAGGATCAACCAGTTATCCCTGGCTAGACTGTCAAAACTGTGGGAATCCCTGGTCCTTCAAGAGGGCTGCACCCACAGCGTCTGGACCAGAGCAGTGCCTGCAGCCGCCATCCCAGACAGAGGCATACAGCTTCTGGTCCAGAGTGAGGTACCCAGCCTCCACACCAGAACAGTGCCCCCAGGCGCCAACTCAACCTAGGTGCACATCCTCCAGGTCCAGAGCAGAGCAATCAGTCTCTGGCCCAGAGACTTGCTGAGTGAACCTTCCACTTTCCCGGACAGAACTGTGCGCCCCAGGATAACAGACTGAGTTTCCCTGTTGGGAGAAAACCCTACAGCTAAGGAATCAGCAATTTCTTCAAGAGGACTGTACATGGAAATTTAGTGAGCAGCAGCACACTAAATTTATAAAAAAAAAACCCAGCAGTGGGGCAGCTGTCTTGAGAAATTCTATGGGTAAGAGGAGATCCCCCCCCCTGCCTAACATAGACCACAGCTACTACTCAGGGCTATAAACCTGAGGTGAGCAGTGGCAACTCCTGAGAAACACTGGCCATACAGTGACCATAACCAAAAAGCAGACAAGGACTCCTTCAGGAAAAATCATCTTCCAGCCAAGGGGATACTCCCTACCTCAGGACTCCAGGAAGCACAGAAACTAACAACCAACACCTAAATCAGCCCAATGGGTAGAGGTCAGCGTAAAGGCTCAACCAACAAAAGACAGAGCAATATGGCATCTCCAGAACCCAGCCATCCAGAGGCGAACAGCCCTGAACAATGCAGCATAATAGAAAATCAAGAAGATGACCTTACATCTACGTTGATGAAGAGGATAATAGAGGAAACAGATAAAATACGTAAAGAATTAGAGGAAGATAAAACCAAACAGATCATGGCTATCCGTAAAGAAATGGAGGAAGATAAAGACAAGCAGATTAAGGCCATCCGTGAAGAAATACAGGAAGATGCAGCCAAACAGCTTGTGGCCTTCAGAGAAGAAATAATTAAATCACTGAAAGAAATCAAAGAGACAGAGTTGAAGGAACTAAAAGAAAAAGAGGAAAATACAAGCAGACAGGTGAAGGAAGTAAACAAAACAACTCAAGACCTGAAGATAGAACTAGAAAAATTAAAGAAAACACAAATGGAGGAAATAATGGAGAGGAAGAATTTAAGAAAGAAAACAGGAACTACAGAGGTAAGCATAACCAACAGAATACAAGAAATGGAAGAAAGAATCTCAGGTGTAGAAGATACAATGGAAGAAATCGACGTATCTGTCAAAGAAAATGTTAAATCCAAAAAATTCCTGACACAGACCGTCCAAGAAATCCAAGATAATACGAAAAGATAAAATCTAAGACTAATAGGAATACAGGAAAAAGAAGACTCCCTTCTCCAAGGCCCAGAAAATGTTTTCAACAAAATCATTGAAGAAAATTTCCCCAAGTTAAAGGAGAAGCCAATAAGGATACATGAGGCCTACAGAACACCCAACAAATTAGACCAGAAAAGACAATCCTCCCGCAACATAATAATCAAAACAGTAAGTATACAGAACAAAGAAAAAATACTAAAAGCTGCAAGGGAAAATGGCCAAGTAACATATAACGGCAAACCCATTATAATCACACCTGACTTTTCAACAGAAACTATGAAAGCCAGAAGGGCCTGGACAGATATCATGCAGACCCTAAGAGAACACAGATGTCAACCCAGGCTACTATACCCTGCAAAACTCTCAGTCCTCATAGACGGAGAAAACAAGATATTCAATGACAAAAACAAATTTCAACAATACCTACACACAAATCCAGCATTACAGAAGACACTGGAAGGGAAAATACAACCCAAGAAAATTAGCTTCTGTCAAGAAAACACAGGAAATAATTAACCTTACTACAGCAAAACAAAAAGCAACCAAGCACACAACCTTATGAACACAGCCAACATCAAAATCAAAGGATCTAACAGCCACTGGGCATTAATCTCTTTCAACATCAATGGACTCAACTCTCCAGTAAAAAGACACAGATTAACAGAATGGATACGTAAACAAAACCCAGCAATCTGTTGCATACAAGAAACACACCTAAGACACAAAGATAGACATTACCTGAGGGTAAAAGGTTGGAAGACGACTTTCCAAGCAAATGGACCCAAGAAGCAAGCAGGAGTAGCCATTCTAATATCTGATAAAATAGACTTTCAACCAAAACTAATAAAAAGAGATGAGGAAGGACACTTCATACTCATCAAGGGAAAATTCCACCAGGAAGACATCACAATCCTGAACATCTATGCCCCAAATACAAGAGCACCCACATTTGTAAAAGAAACATTGATAAAATTTAAACCACATATGGATCTCCACACATTAATAGTGGGAGACTTCAACACCCCACTCTCAACAAAGGACAGGTCAACAAAACAGAAATTAAACAAAGAAACAATATCTCTGACAGAGGTCATGAATCAAATGGACCTAACAGACATTTACAGAACCTTACACCCAAATACAAAAGAATTTACCTTCTTCTCAGCACCTCATGGAACCTTCTCCAAAATAGACCATATAGTTGGTCACAAAGCAAGCCTCAACAGATACAAGAAGACTGAAATAATCCCTTGTATCCTGTCTGATCACCATGGAATAAAGCTGGACTTCAACAACAGAAATAGCAAAAATCCTACACACACATGGAAACTGAACAACTTGTTACTAAATGACAGCTGGGTCAGGGAAGAAATAAACAAAGAAATTAAAGCCTTTCTAGAACTCAATGAAAATGAAGACACAACATACCCAAACTTGTGGGACACAATGAAAGCAGTGCTAAGAGGAAAGTTCATAGCACTAAGTGCCTTCAAGAAGAAATTCGAGACAGCTCATTCAAGCAACTTAATGGCCCACTTAAAAACCCTAGTAAAAGAAAAAGCAGACACACCAAAAAGGAGTAGACGGCTGGAAATAATCAAATTCAGGGCTGAAATCAATCAATTAGAAACAAATAAAACAATTCAAAGAATCAATGAAACCAAGAGCTGGTTCTTTGAGAAAATCAACAAGATCGACAAACCCTTAGCCAAACTAACTAAAAGGCAGAGAGACACCACCCAAATCAACAAAATCAGAAATGAAAAGGGGGAGATAACTACAGACACTGAGGAAATCCAAACAGTCATTAGGACTTACTTCA